TTTTCTATTACACCTAAAAATCCGTGAAGTCAAACTAGGAACTTCATTTCGGGACGAAGAGAGCATATGGAGGTGTTTGGAATTGACTCTGTTTTTGCTTCTTTAAAAATAGAAGTAGAACTAAAACCGGTTTTCAGAAGCTAATTTACCCCAATATCTTAAAAACTGCTTCTGTAGACCATTTGAAGCGTTCCCTGAAAAAAGTACTTCTGCACTATAGCCAAATACTCCAATATCTGTTTTTATTCCCTGAAAAAGCAGAAAAGTTTTGAGAAATAGATCCAAAACATCATATTTCCAACCAAATAGAGTCTTTCGAGTGCTACCTATATACGAGTACTACTCTGGCATGTTTGAGTTTTATTGCCTCTGTCGATTGTGGGCGCCGAATTCTTGAAAATTGTGTTCCACATTTTTGCGTCATCATGTTGACGTCAAAGAGGTCATATTAGCGTTTGATGACTTCGATAAAACGCATTTAATTTAGAATAATCTGAACAAATTTTGTATCATCATTATATAATGTCCCCACCACATATCCAGTCTATCGTCACTATGTCTTCAACACTATATATTGTCTCTATCTTTTCCAAATTTCTCGAGTGTGATTAGCCATTGACAAAGAGAAGTCATTGCTTATTTATCTCTTGTCATTCAATTCTTTTGTGCGTACTGTTCATTGCTATCCCCTTTCGGACTACAACTCTATTTTCAACTTGTGTTCTACCTTCTCCACCTTTGCGTATTTCTGCCAATGCCTATAACTGGAAACTAGGAACTAGGAACTAGGAACATCATCCGTATCTCGGATTTCATTATTTTTAACAAACAAAAAAAAAGAGGAAAAGAATTACGGAGTATGAATTTTGGTTCTTTTTTACATGGAGCAATTTAAGTTCTCAATATATTACTCCGTAGTTGAGAGTATGAAAGTTCTTTTTACTCCGTAATTTTTAGAGCATTAGAAATTAAAGTTCTTTTTTACGGTTTTTTACGGAGTATGAAAGTTGAATTATTCACTTAGCATACGCGCTCTCCTCACGTTTGACGTCATTAACCATGTAATTAAATCATGTTTTAATCATATTTCACAGTTTCTAAACGTTAGACAACGTTTGAAGCTCCATGTTTTAATCATATTTCACAGTTTCTAAACGTTAGGCAACGTTTGAAGCTCTAGCAGTTCGAAGGATAGATTAGAACGTCGATTAACCGACAGTATGTTTTGTTAAATTCTACCTTCGGAAATTTTCCAATTTCTACATTGAACTTCGAGAATCAATTCTCATTCACCCATTATTTATTTTGAGTGTATCACATATCGCATTGAACCCCTTAAAAAGGAGAATCTGAAACCACTTTGACCAGATCCCAATCGAAAGTGGATCCCACCCAGAATACTACCCGACAATAGTCATTTAATTCAATTTTTAATACAATTTTTCCAACAAAATGAACAAGTTTTCTTTACATCAATACAATTTTTAAGGATTATATACATAGATTAAGATTTCTTAATAAATAAAACAAAATACTATATTCCATTTATGGTCCAAAACAACATACACAGTTGATCCACAAGACCCCAAAGATAAGATCAAAATGGACATTTATACAAAAAAAAGTTTACTAAAAAAGAATTGATGGATGCTATCAACTTGGAACATTACATGAGCCAAATAAGAGATCACCTCCTAGATAAAGAAGACCACGTGAATAAAAAGAATTAAATATTATAAAAGTGGGAGAACAAAAAAAAGATAAAAAGAATCTTAAAAGAACATCATAATGGCATCCTGTACATGCACACGACCGGGCCACAATAATTCTCCAGCTCTTCTGATCAGACATTAAATCTACTCTCCATGTTTTCTGCACAACCACTTTCCCACATTTCTTCTTAAAACACCCCACCAAACACGCCACAACCACCCTTCCTCATTCTCCATCTCTTCTCCACTCTCATTTCCACCAAAACTCAATTAATATGAGAAGAAACTGGAGAGGAAGAAGTAGTGGTGGATGGTTCTTTCTAGTCCATGTTTGGTTGGCCATAATGTTTGGGTTTTCTGCATTTTGTTTGAAGGGGGAAAGTGAAGGTGGTGGTTGTTCAAGAAGATTATTATTACAAACAAACGACATGAAGATCGGCCCCACATCCCCCTCCGCCGCCGCCTCCGGCGGAGTCCACTTCTTCAACTTGCTCCCGAAGAGGTTCCCGTTGCCGGGGTCAACGCCGTCGAGACGGCATAATGAGATTGGGCTGAGGACTTGGAAAACGCCATAGCTAAGAATGCATGCATGCAGTAATAACTTGAAGCTCAGCTCCTATATATACATTTCTTATGCTCCAAATTGTTGATTAAATTTTCTAATCTCTTCATCGTATATATTATTAATTGATTGACAAGGTTAATTAATTTAGTTTGTGTTAACTTTAATTATCGATTCTTTAATTTCTCCCCATCAAGTAGCATATTAATTGGTCATAATTCATTGATTTACGCCATCACCATAAGTTATGAACATTTTTTATTTATTAAATTTAATTATTTATTTGTAATTGTTTGTTGTTACTCCGTACTATTTTCGCCCCTTGTTATGGATGTTAGCAGGTTGCTAACCTAAATGTTTCCATTAATACTCCATACCCATGATTCAAGCTAGCTAGAGAGCTAGGAATCAGGTTTTGTAAGTACGAAGTATTATTTTAACCGAATTTTTTCATGTAAATTATGTAATATTTTGAATACTCCATGCACAAATGATTGTAACACTCATTTTTTGCGTATATATAAATATTGCAACAGTTTTCTTTTTTCATAGGCTCTTATTTAAAAATGTTGAAATTTTAAATCTTCTACTTTTCCATCTTTTCTTTTATCTTTTGTATCATTCAATTCTCTCCTGCTTTTGAACACAGAGAGCTAGCTAGTACTTCGTATTACTTTTCCTTTAATTTCTTTTTTTGGGATCAAAATCTTCTTTTAGATTTCTTTTTTGGGAATGGTTTGTGCGATTGATATTGATTATACTCATTTTATCTTAATAGCAATCCGGCAATTTTGCTGTAATTATAATTGTAATATATTTTTTAAACTGAAGGAATAAGATTTTTTACTAGTTTATTACGATTAGTTTTATCAAGCCTACTTTTTCGGTTGAAACATTTAACACAAATACTATAGGCACCCTAATTGAGTTTTGCTAGAAGTACGTAAAATGTGTACACCTTTTGTGTACATCACACGCATTTTCACCCCAATTTGTACTTCATTTTACACATACACCCCCTAGTTATCTGTGTACACACGTAATTCTTTTGAAAACAGACAGAATTTTCTGTCAAAAGGCATTTTTACACGGGCAATGTACATTTGGTGTACACAATTTTCAATTGTTTTATCAATAAGTTTTGATGACTCGGTTACTATTATGGGGGTCAATGCAAATATCATTTAGAGCCGTTTGGTAGCACGGTAATCGAATCGACTGATTTGGATGATTCTGTTGAAATTTATGAATTCTCCGGCTGAAGTGGTTGCATTAGTTAATTATGTTGATTTATGCAAAATTTATTTTTTTAAATATATTTTGTTAATAAAATAAAGAAAAAATTATATGTAAAATAGCTAAAATGGTCATCTAAAGTAACATCAGTCAATATAGCCAGAAAAGTAACTTCAATCTTACTTTTTCTGCTTATTAAACAATTCAACGGCGAAAGAAAAAGTTACGTGTTTGGTGAAAAAGTTGGCTGATAAGCTTGATAAGCCAAAAAACAGTGTTGCCAAATGACCTCTTAATCTCTTACTTTATATGTTTAACTTCTACTAATTTGATATTCTTTTTTAAAATTTTAATGTAATTTCTAAATATGTAAATTTTACAAAATAATTAAAAGTATATCGCAAATACACCTCATAAAACATACACCTCTTTAAATTTTTCATGAACCATTTTCAAACTAGTCACAAAAATTGTAAAATAAGAATATATACACTTTTATTATTCCAAAAAAACTAGAAAAACATGTTTACTTATGCATACTCATATTATTCAAGACAATTTTATTCTTATTTTTTATTATTTTATTTGTTCTAGCATGCTTGCATTCTTTTATGATATATAATTGTCTCTAGCTATCCCAACTATTGTATCATTTTAAATCAAATGACATTTTTTTTATAAATTAAAACCCCGAAAAAACTGGAATCGAAACAAACCGAACCAATCAAATGAGGTTTCAAGTTTTGAATTGAAAAATTTAATCGAAACCGAACTGAACCTTTTATTTTGGTTTCTTATTTGGTTTTTTATCAAAACTAAACTCATCCCTACTTAGGGTATGTTTGGCACGACTAGCTGAAAAGATACTTTTGTGAGCTTTTTAGTAACTGTTAGCTTTTAGTGACTGAAAAGATCTTAAAAAGAAAAGGTGGTAGCTGTTTGGTAAAAAGCCGACTGTTTGATTTAGTCTTGTTTGGTATACAAGATGTTAGGACAAATTAATACTAAAAGTCACGGTCTTTTCTCAGATGCTACTCCCCGTAGCATTTCAAAAAAGATCTTTTATTTTTCGAGAAGCTCTTAAAATTTGTCATGCCTAACACACAACTAAAAGCTTTTAGAGAGATTTTTTAAACAATACAAAAGCTCCACTACTAGAATTTTCGCGTTTTAGTGTCGGATTTTCGGACAGTAAAACAGCCAGCAACGGCGTTAGTGTCGGACTTCAGTGTCGGATTTTCAGACACTAAAATCTGGACATTAATTTGTGTTGCGTCGGAATAGAAGGTCGGACACTAATCAGTGACGGAATTTAGTGGCGAAATTTCCGCCACAATTTTTATTGTCCGATATTCCGCCACAAATATCCGTCAATGATGTTTTTTTAATTAATAATTTTTTAAATGCATCAGATTTCTATAATAAATGAGATAATAAACTAAAACAATATAAAGTATAAACAGTTGGATAAGAACCTCAAACAGAAATTAAGATGATGCCAAAATTTGAAATTTATATTAGTATGCAACAATCAAAATATATCCAATACAAACCTTAATTAATTTCATATAAACGTAGCTAGTAACCAAAAATATTCATGACCTCAGGTTCATTTAAATAATCCAGATCATCATACATAAACAAAAATCAAAATTACTAGTTGTCAATGTTCTAAAGAGACTATGATTCATCCATAGAGTCTGGGCAGTCTTCTGGAGCATCTTTAGAAGACTCAAGTATTGGGAAACAATTTGGAAGATCAATTCCTCTTGATTTCAGAAATGGAAGCCATATTTCTTCAAATGTCTTGGGCTGTGAATCAGGATCCTCATCTTGCAAATCATCATCAACAAGTGGCATTTCCGGGGGACACTCATCACCATGTGAAGTCAACCATTTCCTCAAGTGTGTGTCCCAAGTGACGCAAAAGTGATGCATCCGACGAGCTTTTGAACATGATTGTTTTGCACTTAAATTCTTCACATGATGAAGAAATGCCTTTGAATAGCTTCCCGTTCCACGCACTTTTCTCTTTTTGCAACCGACAACTTCTAGGTACTTGGCATGCAATTGAGAAGATTTAACATTGGATGTCCTTGCGGTTTCCTCTTGATCAGAAGATTGAGATTGTTCTTCGACATCATCTCCAAAATCATCACACAATTTATCCACAGCTTCCTATACACAAAATTTATACAAATATAATTAATAGGCTGCAAATTATAAAAGATTTAAAACATGAATGATGGACTAAATGACTGAGTATAGAAATCAAACTCAGTTGTCTCATGCCTCACAAATCTGGAGAAACATAACTAATAGAAGCAATTGAAATGTCAATCCAAGAATCTTATTTCTTGCTCTCATATATTACAACTGAGCCACTACTCTCAAATATATTAGCAAAAGCAAATGTTATTCTCAAACATATTATGACGAATTCAACTTCAGAAGTAAGCAAATGACTGAGATCACAAAGAAATCTGGATTCAAACCCTATCATCCAAATATGAAAATTTATTAGAACTGATCCACTACCCTCAAATATATTAGCAAAAGCAATTGTTATTTTCAAACATATAATGACGAATTCAACTTCAGAAGTAAGCATTACTATTTTTACACTTTTGTTCTAAGCTTGGAAGATTTAGGAAGGGAGGGCCTAAACTTTGCTGCTAAGATCTGAACTTTCTGTTACACTTATCACATCATTACTATTTTTACTGAAAGATTTCTATATACTTATCACATGATTACTGTCATTGTAAGTTTGATAATGTAATTTGAAGTCCACATAAGGTTTGCGCCACTCTTTAATTTCTCAAAACAAAAATTATTAAATGAAAAGTATATACCATTTCTGCAGCTTGTGAGTCACAAACAATAAGCTCTCCATTCTTATTTTTCTTTGGATGGTATTTGCCATACATCTTCACAGGATTTATTTCTTTACCTGTCAGCATCAACTGAAACAAAGTACTATATTTCATATAACTATAACAATGTCATTAAATTTTGGAATAAATACTTGAAATCTATGTTAACATTATATGAAATTAAAATATAACCTCTTGTGTAGCCAAATCAACGGCAGATTGTGATCCTCCGTGTTGCTTACATCTATCGCCGCCTATTTCACGATTCTTTTTCCCAGACTTTGAAGCTATGAGAAACTGTTTTGACCGCTGAAACTCTTTAACGACTGACCAAGTAAAATTATTCACAGTGGCAGGGCGACGCTTCCTTTATAGTTTACAAGTAAAAAGTGTACATTAAAAGATAGCATGATTATTAGAAAAAAGTTGATGAAAGCATTTATTCTGATACCTTATTCGTCTCATAATCTTGGAGTAGCCTTGTTCCTTCAAATAACTTTCATAACCTTCTTTTATTTTTTTGACACTGAATTTCGTGGTATCCCATGTAACTAACCTCTGTGAAATAAAAATATTTATATTAGGAACTATAGAATATTTGAATTACATAAGCGATATATGTTTATCAGACATAAATAACCTGAAACTGCTCCCAATAAAGCTCCTTTGTTTTATCTGGCACCCATTTCCATCTCTGGCCAACCGGGTGTAAATTATACGTGACTTGCTTACCAATAATTCTTGCAAACTTTAAACTGGTTTTGTTCACAATTATGTTTGTAAGGCTGCATGTAAATTAAAACCATTAGAAACATCACTTTAGAAAAAAAATGTAAAGAAGGGTACTTAAGCTAAACAATGAAACTTACTTCCCTGTTGCATTTACACCAACATTAGGCTTTTCAAATTTTGCAAGTGAAACTGGTTTGAAAGGGTCCAAAGGTGCTTCACCCCAATTAAGATGACTATATGTTTCTGGGTTCCAATCAATGGGAATCTCTTCAGCACCTTCATCTATATTTTCTGTGGAATCATTGCCTTCTAGTGGATCACCGTCCATTTCTGGTGATGCAGATTGGCTGTTGTTGGAAAAAGGCTGGTGGTTTGGTGGTGTTGGGATGACTTGTGTGTTAGTGGGTTGTGAAATGATAGGTCTAGCACCATGAGGCCGATTATATTGGGATGGAGGAGGCTGGAGATGTTGGCTAGGTTTCCCTATTAGCGAGGCAGGGGTTTTTCCATTTACTCCAAGTAAGGTAGACGGTGTGGAGTGACTCGTCGACGGTGTGGAGTGACTGGCTGACTGTTTTGAGTTGCTTGCACTGGCTGGTTTTTTATGGATACTACATTGTTTGCTCTTTGATATGGCACCACCCAGTCCTTTAGTTGGAAACATGGTGTTTGTGCTTCTATATCACCAAATTTACCTAAATAATGAAGCATTCACAATTAAATGAGTGAGTATTTATAGTTAGAGGTAGCAGAATGTATTAGAATTTAATAAAGTAATGAGACAATCTAGAATTAGTTTAATCACATTGGATTGTTTAGGGCTATAAGGGGAAGTACTCATCTAGGCAAATTAACAAACACTTGGCATGCATATTTTAGTAATGATGTATGTTTACTGTATCAAGGCTTATTAACTAACAGGGTAATGGATTGTGGATAGCTACAGGGTACACTGGTCATCTAGACAAATTAACAAACACTTGAATAGCCAAGTTTTAACACTGTCTATACCATAATTAAAAGAAACATACACAAGTCATCAAATCCTTTTCCAGTAAACATGTCTGTAAACCATCATAACCCTCAAGTTTAAAGGAAATTACTTAAGAAAATGAAATTTGAAAATCAGAACAAATAAGAAGTCTTAATGATAAGAGAAACTCATAAATAAGGATAAATGCATTACCGGTGCATAGAAATTTTGTAGATAAGCATTCTCAAATAATCTCTAGCATTTTCTAGAAATAGTAGACCGTGATGATTACCTTGTGCGCTGGAGTAGAGACTTCGCGAATAATCTCTAGCAGGCATTCATAAGCATTCTAGTGTAACGATCGATTAGCCCTTGACCATGAAGATAAGAGATTGGAGTTACGTTGGAGTTGCTGGTCTGAGACTAAGTTGAGAAAAAGTGAAATGCTTTGTTAGGTTTTGCGTTTAAGAGGAGGGTTTTGGGCCTGGGTCGAGGGAATCTTGGGATTTAGGTGGGAATTTGGAGGGAGTTGAAAATTTCACAATAAGAATACCGAAAAAATTGGAGGGAGATGAAGCCGGAGTTTTTAGAACCAGCCTAGAGCCCGTTTGGTAGCATGAAAATCGGCTGATTTGGATGTTTCTGTTGAAATTTATGAAGTTCTGGCTGAAGTGGCTGCATTGGCTGATTCTACTGATTTAAGAAAAAATAATTTTTAAAATATATTTATTAATAAAATAAAGAAAAAATATATGTAAAAATAGCTAAAATAGTCATCTACAGTAACTTCAGCCAATACAGCCAGAAAAGCAAAAATTATGTGTTTGGTGAAAAAGTTGGCTGATAAGCCTGATAAGCTGAAAAACAGTGGTTCCAAACGGCCTCCTAATGTTTTGTTACCTAATAAGAATTGAATGTTTTTATTTGGACCGTAATTTACTGGTCCGGTCGATTTGATTTGAACTGGTCTTGTCTGATCTCTTTGCATTTTTATAACTTATCCAAGTCTGGTCTAGTTTGATCTGATCTGGTCTGGAACATATCACTGTCCAAGTAAAAACATCCTAAATCGATTGTACATTTGTAAAATGGAATTTATGAATCCGAGATTCGAAAGATGAAATGCATCGGTATAAGATTCGAATGATTAAGAACTATCAATCTAGGACTTAACATTTTATATATTTTGATTTTTTTATTTTTATTATTAATTTCTATTAATTTCATTGCTAAATTTTAATAATATAACAGCACAAATAGTTTATTACTTTAACAAAATTAAATAATATTAAAAAAATAAAATGAAATAATAATAAACTTCATGACAACTTAGGATGTTTTTACTTAGATTGTTTCCAGTCACATATCAGATCAAACCAAATTTAACCAGACCTAATCAGACCAGACCAGACTTTCATAGTTTTAATTTTTTAAAATACAAAGAGACCAATTTAAATGTATTGTAATATAACAAATCGAGACACCCAGTTTTCATAACGCGAATAATTAAAATTCTAAAAAACATGAATTATTAAATAATCATAGAAGTTGTCACCATTTTACACATCATCATCATCATATGCAATTACAACATTTCCTTCGTAGTCTTGATTGTCTTCATTATCAACGGGCTCATTATCATACGTTCCATCTAATGCATCGTCCATGTGCACGGGAGTAGTGGATGTCAGCAATTGACTTGAGTGGCCATCATTTCTTTGTAGCTCTGAAAAATCTAACTCAATTTGGAATGATATTCCAGGTTCATTTTCTTGATACTCTTGTGATGGTTCCTCCTCGTCATTTGAATCTCCTCCCCCGTCTTTTTCCACAAAAGCTCTTGGCATGCATTGAACAACAGAAAACCATCTGTTGACCCTTTTCTTTGCACTTGGATATGACACGTAAACAACCTGATCGGCCTGGGATGCTAAAATGTAGCAATCTGCACCACGTAATCGATATTGTATGTTCACGTCAACTATCTTGTATTGTGGATGGACTCGTGTACCTCTATTAGAAGGTTCAAACCATTCACATTTGAAAACGATCACCTTGTAATCTTGATATTCCAACTGAATTATCTCTTGTATTAAGCCATAGTATTCAAGTGTTGATCCATCATAACTTGTGCAATTCACCATAACCCCACAGTTTGAGGTTGCTCTGTCTTCAGATCGTGCAGCAGTGTTAAACTTATAACCATTTATATTAAGCGTCTGGTAAGTTGTCACATAGGGTGAAGGAAATCCTGATAAAGCACGAACCCATCGTGGATGGTCTGTCATATCATTTTGCACCTAAATATAAGCAAAGTCAATCAACAATTTTTATCTAAAATATATGACATAAAAATATATTCATTTAAAAAATAGTAAATTCCAAATTCTCACATGGTGGTAAAACCAAAGAGGAAATTGTTTTTGTAACATGGTGTCACAATCACTTGTTGATCCTGTCGTGTTGAGGAACGTTCTGTAATGAAACCGAAAAAATATTAACAGTGCGTGTGTGTAATAAAATGCAATTCATGTGTGTAATAATAAAAAATTATAGTACTGCAACTTACTCTCTAAATGGTTCAATCTCCGGACAATTTTGTAATACATATGAATGTACTGCAAGAGATTCATCTTGGTCCATGTAACGCCGAGAGCTAGCACCAATTACTTTTGCCTTTTGTGCGAAAATGGAAACACTAGCATCATCATTGATCAGGGCACCGTCATCAAATCTAGGTACACGATGAGCTTTTGTGGGTACATCGTCTGGAAAGTAGTAGCTTGCAAATGTGCCCATTTCACTTTGCAAATAACCTTCCCTGATAGAAGCTTCAACTCTAGCTTTGTTTCCGACTTTCGTCTTCAGCACTGATCCTAGAAAACTATAACAATAGTAAAATTAAGAAAGTAAGGAATACAAATCAAATGTTTATATTAGCACCTAATTATGAACACATCTTGACTGTATAAAAACAAAAATTCACTTACCTTTCAAAACGATACATCCATCTGTATTGTGGAGGTCCGGCAAGCAAAGCTTCATCGGGTAAATGGACAACAACGTGTTCTGTAGGGTCAAAGAACGAGGGTGGAAAAATCTTCTCCAGCTTACACAAAATCACAGGAATATCTACCTTTAACTTCTCAATATCGGAAACTGATATTGTCTTTCTTGTTAACTCACGGAAGAATAAGCTAATCTCAGTAATTGCCTCCCAAATTCGATCAGGCAACATCTCTTTAAAGGCAATTGGAAGTAGGCGTTGCATAAAGACATGACAATCGTGACTCTTCATACCAAATACCTTAAGCTTATCCATTTCCACACACCGCCCCAGTCGAGATGCAAAACCATCTGGGAACTTCAATGAATCAATCCATTTAA